GAGAGTGCATACAGAGCCCCCACTCAAAAGAAGACCCTCACCAGATGTGCACCCTGGATATTGGACTTCCTAGCCTCCAAAACTGTAAGAAATAAACTTCTTTTGTTTATACATTACCCAGTTTTAGGTAATGTAAATGATAAACATCAAATTCACAAGTGATTACTTGAGCAAGGGAGGGGAATGATAATACTGAGGGTATATAGGGCTTCAGTTGCATTGGTGATGCTTAAACTTATTTTCTGGTCTTTTTTGTACACCTGAAATGCCTCATTAAACAGCTAAAACAACAAAACAAGTAATAGCCTTAATTTTTAAGATGGGGAAACTGAGGCTCAAGAACTTCAGCTGCTGTGCCAAGCTTCTGACTGTACTCCTTCCATATTATTATCCTGCTTTAAATTTAAAAAAAACAAAACAAAACATGGATTACCAAGTCTAAGGTTAAAACTATGGTCCCAAGATTTGGTCTCTACAAAGACTGAATGAAACTGTACCTTCAAGTCTTTGCTCAGGTACATAACACCCACTGAAAATCACAGGTTTTGACCTGCAATAACTACAGTTCAAAACAAAATGCCTACAAGTAATTGCTTCACTTTTGGACATGGCACAAAACATTTTTTCATCAAATAAAATATAAAGAAGCACTTTATTCAAGAAACATGAAAACAAATCACAACACTCACTTGACAGCAAACCCAAATGTGAGTTTAATAAGCCTCAGAGAGCTAGCTGGTTTGCTCAGTTGGTTAGAACAAAGCCTCATCACACCAAGGTCACGGGTTTGGATCCCTGTACTGGCCAGCTGCCAAAAAAAAAACAAAATAAATGATCCTCAGAGAGTCCCTCTTAGTTCACCTCCTGGTCTTTCCAATGGCAGTGAAGCCAAGCTGGGGGGTGGGGTGAGAAGAGCAGTTTGTTGGGGGGTTTCCCTGGTAAAAATTTTTTGTGAAAGTTTTTGTNAAACAAAATAAATGATCCTCAGAGAGTCCCTCTTAGTTCACCTCCTGGTCTTTCCAATGGCAGTGAAGCCAAGCTGGGGGGTGGGGTGAGAAGAGCAGTTTGTTGGGGGGTTTCCCTGGTAAAAATTTTTTGTGAAAGTTTTTGTACGGGGACTATGCTGAGCTGCCAGTTGTGAAGACTTCAAAATAAAAGATGTTAGAGGAAGTAAGTAGTCAAAGGCTTTTTAATATGTTCATTTGGCCACCAGTCACGTTGCCTGCCTGGCCAAGGCCTGTCCAAGCCATTTCCCCTCACTGCTCTCCTGCCCCTCGCAGTTCCTCTTTACTGGTGCTAGAACCTGGTCCCACTTCTGTTCTGCCCAAAATCTCTTGGAAATATGTTAATGGAAGGGAGAGAGTAGTAAAGGGTCATAGTATCAGAAAAACCTGGACTTGAATCCTGCTATGCCACCACAGAGCCATTCACTAAACCTGAGACCAGTGCTGTCCAACAGAACTTGGTGTGATGATGGAAACGTTCTATATCTGCACTGTCCAGTATGGTGGCCACTAGCCACATATAACTACTGAGCACTTGGAAGTGTGGCTAGTGTGACTGAGGAACTAAATTTTTAATTGTATTTAATTTAACTTAAATGGCCATGTGACTAATTGCAACCATATTAGAGAGGATCTGGAAAGTGGGGAATTCACCCTCTCACAGAGGATCAGCATGTGATAAATGGATGTGAAATGCCTACATTTCTCCTATTAAATTATACCCTACCTTGAAAGGCCTTCAAAGGAAAGTATTGAAATAAATAATCCTCAAGCACTTAATGTATTGACTTGGCTGGTTATTGTGAGTATGCCTGGACAGGCCTGATTGAGTCACAAAAGCACTGACTGGGGTGCTACTTCCAGACAAGGGTACGCCACTCCAGCACACACTGCCTGAGCATGCACCTGATGCAGGCTGATGTACACAAGTTTGCTTCTTTTCCTCTTGTTTTTTGGTCCTCACTACATTAATTAAACAACTACATTCTCAGAAACCTACATACTTAAATTCTTATGTGACGCTATTTGACATATCCTTAATATGTTTCCATATAGAAAATGTTTCTCGTTTTCTCCAGTTAAACTAAACTAATTGTATCATTATGTACCAACTGCTTTAAACTACAGA